CAGCCAGGTGTAGGCAGCTGGTGGGGGATGGTTCAGGTCTTTCCACAGGAAGAAGTGGAGAGCCCTGAGACCATCTTGATGGCGGATAGTTGTGTGAAGGGGTGGCTGGAGCCCACAAACTGGAAATTCTGAAACTGATAAAGCATCAGTAGAATGAAGATAAGTGAAAACCTCTTGGCACTGCCTCTAATACCAGTCCCTCTCTCTAACTGACTTGATAAGTTCATGTTGATTTTTGTTGAACTCCCTGTAAAGCAGAGGAGTGGAAGAAAACCACATTTTCAACTTTAAAGGCTTAATTGTCATGAATGCAAATTGTATCCCTTTATTTAGTAACACAGGCTTTTTTGAGTTTTTCAACAACTGACTGGGTATACGTTCTCCTGCTTCTGAACCATAATTAGACCTATTTCAGACTTCATCCAGCCCTTGGGGAGGGGGGGCCCTTTATGACACCACCCTGCCTCCCCATGTCACTTCTCCACCATAAGTGTTTCCCTGTTCTCATGCCCTCCTTTCTTTCCCCCATATCACCTCCGACTGGACAGTTTTTTAAAAACTGAATAGAAGTGAGCTCAGCCTTTAAAACTGTCAATTGAAATGTAAGCTTAATTGCCTGCTGAACGATATGACTTTGAAACTCTATCAAGCATTCAGACTTCATAACAATGAAAGGCATTTTTAATCTTTTTAAGAACTAAAGGAAGTGCAGTTTCTCCTGCTTCTGGCAGTGAGTTAGTTAGGCTTGCCTTTATTATTGGCTAGGCCAAGTCTAGCCTTTAGGTTAATAGCTAACAATTAATTCTGAGATTGCAAGAACAGGCTACGCCAGCCTGTTTGTGCACTTTGGTAGCATTTCTTTGTAATTGACATTTGCAACCTCATCTTTTTACTTTGCAGAGGCTGGGGATTTGAATAAATTCAGATAGTAACATTATCTGCCACTAGCTTGTAACTCTCACTGGGTTAAGATCCTTGAACAGTGAGAAGGGATCTGCTTGAACTTGGCACCATTAGCAAATGCTCCAACAGAGTTCTGGTTTCCTCCTATTGACTCTTGCCCCACTTCTTCCGTTACCAACAAAAACAGGATCCACTGAAGATGATGGGGCTTCCCATATATAAGTCCCAATCCCTTTTTTAAACTGCTGAGTAGGTTGACAATGGATTTTAATTATGGAGTAAGGTGAAATGACCTTTCTCAAATGCAGTATGGAGGTTAGCCCATTATTTGGGGGCATTCACTGAAGTGGGACAAAAATACTTTCAGTCAAACTTTCCAACTGAGTTGGACACTGAGCTTGCCTGATGAAGGTCAATGTATTTTTTTCTACTTCAAGTAAATTTCCTAAATAGGAAGCTACTGTCTGTAGGCAGCACTGTCCAGGCATTCCATATTGCAGTGACGTCCTTGCTTTAAAAGAATTTCAAGTATGTTTTATAACTCTTGCATTTACCAAGGGATTCTAACATTGCAGATGTTATACTGCTACTCTCTAACTGTTTGGATCTATTGTTTTGAAATGATCAGCAGTCTTGTCTGTCCCAAATTCCTACCTTTAACACTCCATCTTCTACAGTTTCCATGTGTTCAAAACACTCATCCTGCATAAAGCCTCCCCATCCACTGAATTCTTTTCTGTGGCTATATTCCACCTTGAACATCTCTCTCTTCTGCACTGTTGTATTTATACCTTTCCCCTCCACTTGCAATGCTGATAATCTGCTTTGATCACTGTCTGATTTTCTTGTGGAAAGTTGGAATTTTGATGAACAGACTTCAGACTGTGCTTGCATAATAAACTCAAATACTGTTCTGTATCCAGGTAAACTCTAAGATACCAAACAGTGGCAGTCCCTTTTTCTGCAAATGTATTCTGTACTGAATCATCTCAACAGGCTGGATATATGTACACATTAGGATGGAATGGACTCAGCTAAGATCTACTATATGGTGCATACAAAATCACCTCTCAATTAATTAACACTATTTCATATTATTAATCCAAAGTCTTATTTTCTGAACATTAAGTTTCATTTAGTTCTCAAGTTTGGAGTTCTACTTCAATTGGCATTCTTTAAACAATCCTCAATTTAGGATTGGTATGATGTAAAATCTGGTATTGACACTTAATACCCAGTCTGATCACGTTTCTGACTTCTTCTAATGGAACCCATTGTAATTAACATGGTCTTGTGAGCTTGATCAAAATGCATTTTGATCATGTGAAATGTCTTTAAGTGCTTCACTAGTGCATTGTTGGATTTGAGAATTGATGCTTTGCTAAAGAAGTGAGGCATCACTTAAATCTTGAGAAAGACACAGGTTGAAGAAAGGAGGATCACAAAGAAAATGTGTACCTGGAGGCCCAGATGCCTATAGGCATGTTTTTGAATAATTGCAGCAAATTCTCTAGTTTTGAGACTGGGTATCCAAATGAAGGATGAATTTCTTAAGTCAATATGTTTTACTTTTTTGTTTCAGCTTGTTGGCTGTTTCCCTGGTTCATAATTGGTCACTATATTCTGTCCCTTGAGGCAAAATCCCTGCGTGTTAACACTTATTTTTTCAAGAAATTATTTACAATTGCTAACTTTTTTGTTTCCATATCTTTGCTTAATATCACTTGGGGATGAATGACTAACTACTTAACATTGAGTCTCAACAACTCACACTAACTTGCCCTGTGTCCATGGATGCTATCTGACTCACTGATCTCCTGCATTTGTTTTCTGTGCAAATTACTGCAATGATGGAACCTGTTTCTACTTATTGTAGTTTAGACTCCTGAAAGCTTGTCTATACCCTACCATTATGAAGGATAGACTTTTGTCTTAAGATGTTTGCAGCCAATATTTTAAACTGAAATTCATTTTCCATGTCCTAATGTGAAATGACACTTGCACATTCCTGTCTCTGCACTTGTAGTATGGCCTAGGCTTGGAAGTAAATTTTGCAGGGAATTGGACTAGCATTCTATGGTCTTGTTGCTTGGGTATTACTTTTAGCACTACTAAACTTTCAAACTGTGGGCTGCATGCAGCTACCATTGTCCAGCCTTGCCTTTGCATTTGCATTTATAGGTCTGGATGCTTGAGTGAGATGTAGGTGCTGTCATCTCCTCGAATGAATTTTGGTGTATAGGTTTAGAATTCACAACAAAAGTAAGTGGATTTGAATTTCATGGCCACTGGGAGCCGCATATAGTACTTTAACATCATCCAGTTAAGCCAACACTAGAGACAGCAAAAGCTTGTGCTTTGCAACAATTAAAGTACCAGACTACTAGCAATTAGCTGCCCTTCTGAACTATCTTAAGTCATTGTATGACTTGCTGGAATCAGGACTTTTTCTATCACTTAGTCTCAATGTGTTGAGGAGTGAAGATTAAAAAGAATGTGTTCTTGATTTAGTCTGTAATTGAGATTTATTTACTGTTTATTTTTAACCTTTCTTGAGACAAATGCCCTTCTCATGAATTTGGTGGCATCAATTGAATCTGTGCTGACATTATTCTGTGGGAGTTGAATATCAATTTACACTGATTTACGACTATTAACTGCTGTTTGATGCTTAAATGGTCAATTCTCTGCTATTAAGATCCTGGACAGCATATTTTGCCCCTTTTAAAGCCAGCAGCTCCTTGTAACTGTCATTCCTGGTACTGGCAACAATGTACTCATGGGGTGCGTGGTTGTACAGATGGGGCTGTCACTTGAAAGTCATCCCACTGGCTGTGCCAGTGACCAGCCCCTTTAATGTTCCTTGATCAAGCACAGCAGCTGACTGAAACAGCTCCTGCCCCCCAGCTCCATCCCCTTTCAAAACAGGATTACTAGCATCCCTGACAGGGGCTGCCTGGTTTTCCAAGACAACTATTTCCTAAACCATCATATGTTATCCCAAAACAAATGCAATTATATCAGTTAACTCACTAATGAGTCTGACATCCCACAGCCAGGTGTTCCATATCCATCTCCTCCATCCTCTGACTTAATCAGAGGAAGTTTAGTTCTGAGGAAATTAACCTGGGAGCCCTTGTATTAATCTGGCCACCATGTTGGCTTGGATTAACTTGCCCAATGGGTGGATGTGATCGGAGATCTTTGGATTTCCCAAACTTACACATCGCTTTGGTCCCATGAGGGACCAACTTCTCAACTTGTTGTTTTAATATTACCATTGGATGTTGGGAATGAACTGCCACCACAATATGGTATCTGTCTCCAGGATATTAGCACTTGATGCAACAATGCTTGTCAGTTCCTGTAAATGAGATTTCAATAATGTGCTGAAAGAGTAACAAGTTTATTACAGCACCTGCTATATACAAATATTAGCTATGGGCACCATATTGGCATAACTAAGCTATTCAGTTATGAACAGCAGGTCTTTGGGGCCAATTGAAGC